AAAAAACTAACATATTCAAACAATACAACTTTTCTTCAATGTTGACTCTAATGGTAGGATATACTTTAAGTTAGACTACAATACATACTTCTTGTGATATTTCTAAAGTTTTTCCTACATGTCAAACTTCCACATCAAATTTTGTATCTCTTTTTGTGTGATTCTTCCTTAATCTATTATCTCAATTGTGGTATGTCAAACCTCTACATCAAATTTTGTATTTCTTTTTGTGTGAAATCTTCCTTAATTTATTATTTCAACTATAATATGATTGAGTTCTCCATATTTAGTAGTATGAATACGACTAAGATAAAAATATTCTCACAAGCCACTACATCAAGATAGCTACTAAAAGGTTCAACATTTGGCCAAGAGGATTAAACTAGTATTATGACAATATTGAGTGGTGTTCTCTCATGATGGATGAGTTTTAATGACCAAGCTCAATCTAATATCTCTTTTAGTAGATTATATAGAAGTCGATTAAAAGTATATAAAGCTTTACCATAAGCCATGTTCTTGTAAACAAATTAAAATAGCAAATGTTAAAAAAAAATAAAGGAAATAATACATAGATTATAAAGTTAAGGATAATATACATTAATTTTTGCTTGTCATAAATACACAAACAGACACACACACGCACACGCACACACAAACACACACGCACACAGACACACACACACACAGACACACACACACAAACACACACACAGACACACACACACATACACAAACATGGACACAACCACACAAACACACACAGACACAAACAGACACAGACACAACACACACACAGAGACACACATACACACAAACACAAACACAGACACAAACACAAACACACACACACACAGACACAAACAAACAAACAGACACAGACACAAACACAGAAACAAACACACACACAAACACATACACACACACACATAGACACACACACACATACACACACACACAAACACATACACACACACACACATACACACACATAGACACACACACACATACACACACACACACACAAAGACATAAACACAAACACACACAAACACATATACACATACACACACACACAAACACACACACACACACACAGACATAGACACACACACATATAGACAAACAGACACACAGACACACAAACACACACACACATACACAAAGACACACACAAACACACACACATACACACACACACACACACACACAAAAGTGTGTGTGTGAGAGAGAGATGTTACCAATGAGGAGCATTGATACTTTGAAGATAAATGATTTTGATGATGCTGTAAGAAATAAACTCGAAGAATCAAGTTATAATTGTTTTAAAAGCACTTTTGTAGTTTGCAAATGTATTAGGAAAGATTTCAAACATGTAAAACTTAGAAATCTAGTATCTTTAAGATAGTTACGTATATAATCGATTATATGGTGGAATAATCGATTATCATGAGCTTTCCTGAAAAACCATTTCGCTATGGAATAATCGATTATCACTTCAAATAATCGATTATCACTGGTCCTGATGAGAACTGGCCAAGTCCTTAGAATAATCGATTGTTCCTTAGGATAATCGATTATCACTAACAATAATCGATTATCACTGGCAATTGTAATGTGTTTTTTCAATTTCAGACCAGCTGTCTATATATAGTTGTTTTAAAACCCTTAGAGGGTTAACTTGAACTTTTCATTTTGAGAGTATTAGAGCTTTGTGCCTAAGGGAAGCTCTATGAGAGTGAAAAGGGATCTATGCCATTTGAGAATACAGTTTGTCTAAGGAAGTTCTCAAGTGATAGAGTTGCTTAAGTCAATTCTTGTGAATAGGAGAAGCTCGCGCTTAGTGTGTCTAAGGTCGGAGTGATTATCTTCAAGTTGGCTGAGCAAGTTCTTCCGGTTCGTTTGTCGAAGGAAGGTTCTTCCGTTAGTTTGTCGAACGAAAGGTGTTCTCGTTTCTTAATCTTTACTTCATATCTTGTAATTTGTATAGACATTATTTTAGTAAAAAAGGTTAATCAGTATTCATAGTGATTAACGATTGGACGTAGAATCTTTTGATTCGAACCAGGATAAAATTTCTGTGTTGATTTTCTTGAACTCTACCCTCTTTAAACTCTTAGCACATCAATTGTTTGATAAAAGTTCTCTAACAAAATAAATTTTTGAAACGACTATTTTAACTTGATTTGTGACTGTAACACGCTTTCCGCTTATTTTATTCCACTGTGCGACTCTAAGATACCTATTGTCCTGATACCGACAAGAGAGAGAGAGACATAGACACACATTATGTTCTCTTTAATGGTTTTGTTCAATGACATGTACATCATCTATGACATCATGTTAATCTTTATATATCATCATTGTTGTAAATGGCTATGTAACAAATATCAAAATTAGGCAATTGAACTTCATGAGCCTAATGCTATTTTTTTCATGAAGAACAACAAAAAAAGATTTTTGACATTCTTATTGATATTTCGACAAATGGTTCGTTCTAATATCACATGTTTCAAAAGTCATTGATATTCATCTTTATTCATCAATTTTCATGTTGTTCTTATTGTCAATCTATTTACGCTTTGAAAACAGGTACATAAAACTTGGTGTAATCATCCGGTTATATCTCTCTAATGACAATATAATGTGACATTGATATAAAAACTAAGTTTGATCTTTGAAGTTAGAGATTGCATTGTCTTTATCTCAAGAATGACTCATTTTACAATATACTTTTTTTTTCATAATGAGACTTTGTGTAGAGTGAATAATAATTGAACAAAATATACTTTTTTTTCATAATGACTCATTATAATTCAAAATATAATGTTAATTCTTCTTACTTATAAATCACCCATCAAACTATAAGAAAAATGAGAAAGTTCAGGAAAAAACACTACACATCATTACAAAAAAGTATATCCTAATTGAAATATTTAACATTATTGAAAGACTTAAATAAAAATAAAATAAACATAACTAATAAAATTTCACTTATCTGAAATTGTTACTCCTTATTCAAATTTACAATGAAAAAAATTTAACAATATACTAAATTAATAGTAAAATTTATTAAAATGAAATTTAAATTATTAAATAAAATACTATTAAACACGTTCACCAGCCATTATTTATTTGGTTAAATAAATTACTAACCGCTAAACTTTAACATAATATTATCCTTTTTATCTCGTATGGAATTTTTTATTGTTTTGATTTTTAACTTTTGAAATGAAGATAAAACTTAAATTTAAAAGAAAGTAAATATGCATTCTAATTTAAAAATATAAATTTGTGCGTTTTTTTTATCTAGTTAATACAACGATAATAATAATGAAATGACCTTTCAAGTAAAACTGTGAGACCCTACAAAAATAGTATCAGAAGTAGTAAAGTATTTTAAATAATGATATTCAATTATTTTATTTTAAAAATATCAACAGTCAATTTTAAATCAGTTGGTAATAAAGATTTTAAGCCTTCCTCTTTTCTACTTTCTTATTGTATAAATTAACGGTCAATTTAATTTCTTTTACCAATGAAAAATAAAACTCATGACAGAGTTTCAGGTTAGTTTAATTAATAAATCTTCATTACAAGTTTATATGAATTTTAATTATTGATGCTGTGATAAGAAGTAATTTTCATGCAGAATCACTATGACGGTCAAAGACTATACTAGTTGGGATTATAAAATTAATAGAAAAAGAATGTCAGCACGAAATTACGTCGGCAAAGAGTATACCTAATCACACTTACGTTGTCGTGTTCGCCGTTATCAACTATTGAAATATAAGATCACATATGTTGACGATTTTGTTGTCTTTATTTTATTCTTGAGTGTGAATCCAAAGTAAATGCGCCACTCATTCATGCATGATCTGCGGATCAAAAGCTTAATATATATATAGTTTTTTCTTTCTCAACGCCGATGGTTCTATAACTCTAATTATTTTAATTTTCAATAAATAAAATAAACATATTACGCCTTTAGTAAACGAATTAATAGGTAATTTTAATAAGTATTTTTAAAAGATATTTAATTGTTTTCTTTTCAAAAGATATGTAGATTCGGACATGTACGAAGCTGTTATAAAAATAAAAAAAAATGGTGAGACCTAGTGGACAGAACACTGCACCAAAACCAAAGTCTAATGTATGTACTAAGGAAGTGCTTGAGTACCCTACAATGTGTAGTTCAACACCAACCACATCATGTCCTCAATGATTTTTCTTCATAGGTGGTGCCCAAAATTTAAAACCTACCTTTCTGCTTCTTGCTTTGCCAAATTACAATATAATTCTCCTTATTTTTTTCATTCCACTTTTTCTAGTTTTCGTTCTGTAATTAGAATGATTTTTCACCACTAAATTCTTTTTTTTTCTTCAATTTTCCGTTTACCTAAAACAATTGAAGTCATTAAATTTGTTGGGTTATTTTGAGAAGAAACATCCAAAATCACTGAAATTTTAATATTATATATGTTGGTTTCTTAACCATATTAAAGAATAATTAAAAAAATATTTTATTAATCGTAAAAATTCTACACAATGAAAAGTCTAACACAATTATATATCAAAGCTTATAAACATCTATATATATATAAAATTTAAATTAAAAAATATAAAAAAATATTATTAATAGTAAATATATATGCTAAATTGTTTAAAATAATTCAAGATGGAATTTATACTTCCTTATATATATATATATATATATATATTATAAATTTATCTTATTTTTAATTAATATAAAATTTTAAATATATTTTTCATATTAAAACATATATTAACTAAACATTAATAATATGGTTAAATATATTTTTAGTCCCTAAATTATCAAGCGAATTTGTTTTTAGTCCATCTTTCAAACTAAGCTACATTTTAGTCTTTGACCTTAAGGAAACCACAATTTTTCGTCCTCCAAAATCAACGGCGTTAAAAACCAACTGAGGTGGCTAACGGTGATATGTCACGTATTTTTTTTTCCTGATACTCAGTAAATTTTTCCCACCTTTTCTCCCTTCGTGTCGTCTCTTTCCTTGCGTCTTCTCCATGTTCTTCTCTTCTGTGTTTTCTTCCAAACTTTCGTGTGCTCTGCCGCTTGATCTTTGATGCCGTCAGCTGCGACAGAACCTCTCGCTACCGCTATCGCCAGTGTGGCGACGACGAAGGAAACGTTGGTGACTTTAGCTTGGTCGCTAGCCATGCAGAGAAGGAGGAGAGGTCAGAGAAGAGGTCGGATGTGCTGAACGCGACGGAGACAAAAACGAATGCGGAGGCGGAGAGGAAAGAGGAGGCATTGACGGAGCTGAAGCGAGTGGTGAAGGAGTTGCGCGAAGAAGACCTCTCGATGCAGGAATCGCGGCGGAGGGAGTGAGGTCGCTGGCGAAGGAAGATGTTGAAGCGAGAGCTAATCTCACAATGCTTGGAGTAATTCCTCCTCTCGTCGAAATGCTCGATTCGGAAGACGCTCATTCACGAATCGCTTTGCTCTATGCTTTGCTTAATCTCGGAATCGGTAACGATGCGTGCGTAATTTGCATTTTCATTCAAAATCCATCATGGTGTTTACTCAAATATTTCATATATCTGGAATTTAATGTTAATTTAATTATTTCATAAACAAAGCGACTGTAGTGAAAATTGACACTGTACACAAGATGCTAAAACTAATTGAATCAAGTGATTCAAATTCGTCGGTGGCTGAAGCGATTGTTGCGAATTTCCTTGGATTGAGTGCTTTGGATTCAAATAAACCCATAGTTGGTTCCTCCGGTGCAATACCATTCCTTGTTATCACCCTAAAAAATTTAGAGGCTAGTAAAACCGTATCACAATCCCAATGGCAAGTGAAGCAAGATGCTCTGCGCGCTTTGTACAATCTTTCAATATGATTGTAAAAACTTTCAGTTATTCTGGAGACTGATTTAGTTTGGCTTTTAGTTAGCTCGGAAGAGAGCCTCAAGAATATTTGAGTGTTTGAGGGTGGACAAGGGGAAACCTTGGTTGATCTCATCAACAACTCTAAATGGGTAGGGGGCACAGTTTCATGGTGGCGAAGATGAAGGACTTCAAGATCCGACTCCAGGGGACGACCGTGGGAAGGAAGGGACGACTCGCGATCACGGCGGTGGCGTTGGAGATGGCGTTGGAGGTGGCGTCGGAGGTGGTTGTGGTAGAATCAAAGGGTTTTGAATGACGAAAAATTATGATTTTCTTAAAAAGAAGGACCAAAATATAGCTTAGTTTGAAAGAGAAACTAAAAACAAATTCACTTGATAGTTTAGGAACTAAAATCATATTTAACTCTTAATAATATTCTTATAACAATTATATATTAATAAATACAATTTTTGTTAAAACAAGTTTTAAATTACTTTTACAATCATTTAAAAAATCTTTCCAATTTTTATAAAGTAATCTTTTTCACAACTTTGACAAGTTCATCATTACTGTAAAAAAAAATCTCTTTCACAAGTTCACCATTACAATATAAAAAAAAAAAATCAATGTATCAATTTGGACTCAAAAGCTTAATATGAAAATTCTAACTTATCTTGAGAATTTCTTTATATGAAAATTGTATTTGATAAAGAATTATAGAGGTACAGGAAAATAGTGAAGTCGGTGGTTTTGCATTGTATCGAGGAATTTACAAAGGGTAAAGTGCAGAGGATCTTCTGAGTTCTGACCCATAATCTGACTCCAATGTTGCTTCTAAATTTACCATTTCACTGAATATGAAAAGTGTTGTGGTTTTTAAAAGGAAGAGAATTTAATAGAATGGAGCCCATTAGAACAGAGTGAGAAGGTCAAATACTGAAAATATGAGGTTGGCCTTCTTCCTTTCTTGTTTTGTGTCAATGGTTTGACTAATAATAACCCCCAAGTAATAAGTTTATGGTAGATCTACCTACACTTCTAGTAGTCTGGTAGATCCATCTTTTTTGGACTCTTCCAAACTTTCAAAATACCAAAATTTTACAGTAGATTTAAACGTAAAAAGAAATTTCACTAAAAAAATAAGACTAATAACAAATAAGTTTAAAAAACGAACCTTTTTATATAAATATATTAATAAAACTAACTTAGGGGTAAAAATGCTATAATTTTAAAAACACATATCTAATAACTGCAAAATCGAATATTAGATGGAGTGCTTTAGATAATGAAATTATATTATTTTATTTTAAAATTATCAATTGTTTAAATAGAATTTTTTATCTTAGAAGTTTTATATTTCTAAAATTTTTTTCTTTAAAATTTCTTTAGTCTTCTATCTAGAAAATCTAACTCACTACCCATCTCGGAAGATTAGAGACCGCCTGAGAGTTGCTTGAGGCGAGATCTTAATTTTTAGCCGATTGATTTCAACTATAAAAAACAAATAGAGATCTTGGAACTCTATAAGGAATTTTAGAGCTTTTAGAACCATTAGAGCGTCAACTAGGTAAGAAAAACTAGTTTATTTGGTTTGGATTTGATATGTATGTGATATTTGATGTTTGTATGATAATGTGATGATTGATTTATGAACTTTAATTAAATCATGAAATTTGGTATATTGGGTGCTTGAAAAGGGTAGTGTGTTGAATTGAAAACTTATGCATGCTGATGTGTAGTTGGTTTGTTGACGTGAAAATTTGTTTATTGATGAATTTGTGAATGTAGATTTCGTGAATCTGAGTTGATGTATTTTTACAAAACTTTGGTTTGGAATAAATTAGAAGAAGGGTGAGATTTAGGCATAAAATGAGAGTTTTTACAGATAAAATTATAAGATCATGGTTTTAGAGAAAATTTGTAGTTTTGAGAATTGTCTTGGGGCCATTTAGGACTTTGTTGACCTCTTATTGTACTAAAAATCTGGTGGTAAGCGTCTGGTAAGGAGTCGTCTGATAAGGAATTGTCTGGTAAGGAATCGTCTAGTAAGGAGTCATCTGGTAAGGAGTTGTCTGGTATGGAGTTGTTTGGTAAGGAATTGTATGGTAAGGAATCGTCTGGTAAGGAATCGTGTAGTAAGGAATCGTCTAGTAAGGAGTCGTCTGGTAAGTATTTCTCAAATAAGGAGTCGTTTGGTAAGGAGTCGTCGGGTAAGGATTTGTCTGGTAAGGAGTTGTTTGGTAAGGAGTCATGTGGTGGTAAGCATCTGGTAGAACATTTGGTGAAGATTCGTCTAGTGGTACATCTTGTCTAGCAATAATGAAGTTGTCATGAACCTTGAATTCAGGGTTCTAGACATAATTTTTAGACGTTCTTTATTTTGTTTTAGGGGTTTTGGACCCTTCCCAAGTTGTTGGTGAAGGTTTCCAAGTTGTTTTCCATGCCTAGGAGGTTCTACAAATATGTGTTTGTATTGATATATAGTGATTACTTTGGATAACTGTGACGATAAACTACATGTTTTGTTGCCTATCTGCTATGTTCTACCAAATCTATAATACTTTATTTAGTATATTACTCTATTAAATGGGATGTTACATTTTTTGCATCACAACAGTAGTTCCTTAGAAGATATGTGAGTATAGGTTTGCTTAGCTTTTGTTATGTGTACTCGGTGTGTTAGTGGTAGTGAGATTATCTTATGGCTGGACTTATTGTTCCTTTCTCGGTGTGACCAGAGTTATGGAACCTAGGCCACCACCTCCTCCTTCTCTCGCGAATCAGGATGTACCTACTTTGGTTATAATGATGAAATCATTCATGCAACGATGCAACAATAGATTACTTCCCTGGTTCAGCAGAATATTGTGGCTTTGCAATAGTTGGAGGCTGCTAGAGTATCGGCGGAGACATGGCAGCTATGCAGTAGTTAGGTGAAACAAGGGCCATAACTGGATCGTCTCACCCTCCACCTATTCAAACACAAGAGTGGAGTTTAGAGAGTTTTCTACAACATCATTTAGCTAAGTTTAATGGCAAGACAAGTCCAGATGAGATAGATCAGTGGATGAGGGATATGGAAAGAACTTTTGATGCAAAAAGATGCCCAACTAACAACAAGTTGACATTTTGTGAATATATGCTTACTAGGGAAGTGAACCACTAGTGTGGTAGCATGAAGATGTTGTTGGAAGAAGGTGGAGAGACTATCACTTGGGAGATATTTAAGAAGAAGTTTTATGCAGAATACTTCCTTGATATTGTGAAATTTGCAAAAGAGTTGGAGTTCTTGTAGTTGGTTCAAGGAGGGATGTCTGTGTTTGAGTATGCAAAAAAGTTTAAACATCTGATTAGGTTCCGTACTTTGAAGATGGACGAGGAGTGGTAAAGCAAAAAATTTCAAAATGGTTTAAGGGGAGATATTAAATTGATGGTGGGTGCTCTTTTTATCAAGCAAGTTTTTGTCTTAGTAGACAAATAAAAAATATTAGAGAAAATGAAGAATGAGGTGAAGAAATAGTAAGGGAAGTTGTAAAGAGTTAGAGGACCATTTGTGTCCAAGATATGTGGATAGGAAGAAGCCTTACTCCAGGCCTCCTATCAATGGTTTCGAGGTGTCTTTTTGCAACCGCAAAATCTGAGTGGTGTGGTGCGGTGTTTCTAGTGTGGTTGAAAGGAGGGGCATATTGTCTGAGACTGTACTTCTAGCTGAGTAGCTGAGGTTCAATCTCGACAGGTTGTTCAACAACAAAGGAGGGGTGAACAACCTCAAGCTTCGGGATGAGTTCATGCTACGATAGGTACATAAGAGGTTGATTCAGGTAATTTGATTATTGGAAGTTGTTTTATAACCGGTAGAAGTTTATGTGTTGTTTGATTATGAAGTGACAAACTCGTTTATGTCAACATCTTGTGTTAAAGATTTAGGTTTGCATGTGGTGGAGTTAAGGTATGATTTGTTGGTATCTACACCAACTTCGAGTTTAGTAAAGACATCTAACATATGTACTAGATGTTCACTGATGGTAGAGGGTTGTATCTTTAAAGTTAACTTGATATGTCTAGCCCTACAAGGGTTAGATGTAATCTTAAGGATGGATTCACTATCTGCTAATTTTAAAAATACAACATGTAAGACCCTTAAAAGTGGAGTATTAGATGCGGTAAAGTATTTTAAGTAATGATACTCCATTATTTTATTTCAAATATATCAATAGTATAAATAGAATTTTCTAATCAAGAGTTTCATTATCTAAGAAACTTTATCTCTCTAAAATTTACTTCCATAAAATTTCCCCTGTCTTTTCTCTAGAAATTCTAACTCCCTACCCATCTATCGGACGATCAGACACCGCCTGAGAGTTCCTTGAGGCGAGATCTTCATTTCTACCCGATTGAATTTAGCTATAGAAAGCAAATAGAGATCTTAGACCTCTACGAGGAATTTTATAGTTTTTAGAACCGTTGAAGCGTTAACCAGGTAAGAGAAGCTAGTTTATTTGGTTTAGATTTGGTATGCATGTGATATTTGATGTTTATATGATGATGTGATGATTGATTTGTGAACTTCAATTAAATCTTGAAATTTTGTATGTCGGGTGCTTGAAAAGGGTGGTGTGTTGAATTGAAAACTTATGGATGCTGGTGTGTAGTTGGTTTGTTGATGTGAAAAGTTGTTTATTGATGAATTTGTGAATGTAGATTTAGTGAATCTGAATTGATGTATTTTTACATAACTTTGGTTTGGAATAAATTAGAAGAAGGGTGAGTTTTGGGCATAAAATGAGGGTTTTGACAAGTAAAATTCTAAGATCATGGTTTTAGGGAAAATCTGTAGTTTTGAGAATTGTCTTGGGGTCATTTGGGACTTAGTTGGTCTCTTATTGTACTAAAAATCTTGTGGTAAGTGTCTAATAGATCGTTTGGTAAGGAGTCGTCTGGTAAGGAATCGTCTGGTAAGGAGTCGTCTGGTAAGGAATCATTTGGTAAGGAATCATCTGGTAAGGAATTATCTGGTAAGGAATCATTTTGGTAAGGAGTCTTTCGGTAAGGTATCCTCTGGTAAGGATTCGTCTAGTAAGGAGTCGTTTGG